CAGCGGTAAAATCACCGCCCCCAGCGGTAAAACTTCTGCCCCAGCGGCAAATTTAAGCACCAAGACCATTGCCTGAGTTCCAATAATGCCCGGACTCGCTCAAAACTCACCCAAAACACACCCGAGGCTCTCGGGACCTCAACCCAAACATATCAACACCCCCCATAATATCACTAAAACTTAGTCGAGCCTTCGAATCACTCAAAACAACATCAAAACACCAAATCAACTTCGGATTCAAGCTTAAGAACTTATGAACTTTCAAATTCCACAAACGATGCCGAAACCTATCAATTCAACTCCGAATGACCTGAAATTTTGCACACACGCCACAAATGACACTACGGACCTACTCCAATTTTCGAAATTCCATTTCGACCCCGATATCAAATTTTTCACTACCAACTAGAAAGCACCAAAATTTCAATTTCGCCAATTCAAGTCTAAATCTACCACCGGCCTCCAAATTACGTTCCGAACACGCTCCTAAGTCCCAAATCACCCAACAGAGCTAATCCAATCATAAAAATTCAAATCCGAGATCGAATACTAAAAGGTCAAAATTTGGTCAAAAGTTTCAAATTTAAAGCTTCAAACTGAGAATTGTTCTTCCAAATCCATTCGGATTACCCTGAAAACCAAAACCGACGATTTACATCAGTCATAATACATCATACGGGGCTAATCATGCCCGAAAACTGGCGAGCGAAGTGCAAAAGCTCAAAACAACCGATTGGGTCGTTACAATCCGACCCAAAATTTTATTACTTGGGTCATAAAATTACATTCACCCACTTACCTGATCCTATCAAAATTTAATTCAGATATCTCACCACCCATTAGGAAGTTTTATGTGACAACCCCAACCCCGGTCATGATAGCGCCCAACACACTGCTAGGCAAGTCCGACCATTCAACAACATTATCCTAAATTCTTATTCATATTGTAGATAAATATCATAGAGAATTTACTAAGTCATTTCATTCAAGTGTATAATTAATAATAAAATCTGCGGAAGTTCAATTAAAATACCACACCATAGCTCAACAGAATCTGGTGTCACAAATATGACCCTCTAATACAGAATATCCACCTATTACAAGTCTGTCTAGAAAAAATACGGAATAAAAGATAGAGATAGAGGGGAGAAATCAAGGCTGCGAATTCCATGTAGCTACCTCAATACTCCCGGATACTACTCTTCAGCTAAACAAATCCTCACTCAGCCTGTGGTGTACCTGGATCTGCACGCAAGGTGCAGGGAGTAATGTGAGTACTCCGACCCAGTGAGTAATAAACATAAATAAAGGCTGAGAATAAGAAATCATGGAAAAATACAAAGTAAACTATAACTGGCAGTTTAGAACAACAAATAGTGAAGCAACAAGTCAATTAAGTCAGAGTACCAAATACTGAGACAAGTATAATAGATAAAAACAAATGCATGAGTGCAATGCGATACATATGATGGTACACTCTAGTACCTACTGCGGCGTGCAGCCCGAGCCATCCATTATTTATCGTTGACGGCGCTCACTGGAGGTGTGTACAGACTCCGGAGGGGCTCCTACAGCCCAAGCGCAATATCAAGCCATCTTGTGGCATCAAATCTAGGCCCTCAGCCTCATATCAATCTCAGTATAATCACCCAGGCTCTCGGCCTCAATGTCAATGTAATCAACCAGGCTCTCGGCCTCAATATCAATGTAATCAACCAGGCTCTCGGCCTCAATATCAATATAACACTGCTGCGGCGCACAGCCCGATCCATGCTTAGTCAAGAAATCATCATAAGCACCTTGGGCATTTGTAAAACAGTAGTTCTCAACCCGAAATATCATTTAGAAATATCATTTAAGTTTTCAAATCTTCGAAAGATGGCTGAGTTTGAAAACAGTATTTAAAACCTTGGACTGAGGTCAAATGATATGCAAAATATGCGAAAGTAGTGATATCAATCCCTGAAGGATTCAAATAATTGGCAAGAAGCCTACAATTGGAAACATGACTGAGGATATAAATTCTTTAACAAAATAAGTGAGGAAAACCAGTCAAAACTCCCCTAAGGGTTCTACAGGTCGGCACAAGGCCCCAAGCATGGCAACAAGCCCAATTCACAATAATAAAGTATACATATCAATCAAAAATGTAGTAAAATATCTCTCGGGACGGACCAAGTGACAATCCCCAATGGTGTTCTACCCCACGCCCATTATCCGGCGTGCAAGTCACCTCAATATAGAGTTACGATGTGAAATTCCGGGGTTTCAAACCCTCAGGACATCATTTACATCAATTACTCACCTCGAACCGGCTAATTCTCTAGCTTGCGATGCCTTTGCCCCTTATTGACCTCTGAATGCCTCGAATCTAGCCATAACGATTCGATTCAGTTAATAAAAATTATAGGAATTTACACATTTTCCAAATTAAATCCGAAATTTAGCTCAAAATTGCCCGTGGGACCCACATCTCGGAATCTGACGAAACTTATAAAATCCGATAACCCATTCCGATACGAGTTCAACCATACAAAAATTATCGAATTCCGACATCGGATTGCCTTTCAAATCCTCAATTAAAGTTTTGAAGATTTCTACCATTTTTACCCAATCTTTACCTATTTGAACTCAAAACTCTTCCCATAACCTTATTGTTACAAGCATGTATAGCTAATACTCAAACATCTATGAATCATCTTACTAATTACCCATTTCTAGTTAGATTTCGAAATTGAAGAATTGGGGAAAAAGAAATTCTTACCTCTTTGATGAAGAACTTGAGGGATTTCAAGGTTTGGACAAGATTTTTGATGAACAAGGAACTTGAGCTTCTTCCTCTCTCTAGAACTGCTCTTCCCTCTCTCTAAAAGCACCAGAAAAACCCAAAATAACAAACCCCAAACGAGTTAAATGAAATGGGGTTCGGGTCTTAAAAACCCGTTTTTGTGCAGCCGCGACACGTGGGGCGCCACGGGGTGCGGGGCGTCTGTTCAAAATATGTCTGAAAATGAAATTTCAGACCATTCTGGAATTCCTACTGGCGCGGCGCGCCGTGCGGCGCGGTAGTACAAATTTCTGCGTTGCTTTGGTAATTTGGTCATAACTTCTGGTAGGAGTGTCCGAATGACGAACGGTTTGAAGCATTGGAAACTAGACTCAAAAATCTTTCATTTGATAGGTTGTAAATCACATAGTTCTTTATATATGTGTAGATATGATCGTCCAAAGTGAGGTTTTGCGCGTACTCATTTGCAACTTTAGTCTATTATGAAATTTTCCAACTTAGCTTAGACTTAGGACTTTCCTTAGACCCCATATATCTTATAGTACGCCTTGTACACTTGCTATCATATCTAATTGGTATCCATCATGGTAATAGACCTCTTCCACATATAAAATAATATAATTAGAACACGTCGACTTTCTTATTTCGCCAAAATGCGTCGAATTGTCTTATGGACTTCCAAATCCAAATTCGGAAATACGTCTAAGTCCAAAATCATCATATGAAACTACAGAAACTCTAGGAATTCCATTCTGACTCTCGGATCAAAATCTCACCTATCAACCGGAATTCGCCAAAATACTAACTTCGTCAATTCAAGCCTAATTCTACACCGGACCTCCAAAATTACTTCCGATCACACTCCTAAGTCACAAATCATCCCCCGAAGCTATCCGAATCATCGGGATTCAAATCCGAGCCCTCTAACACATAAGTCAACGTCCGGTTGACTTTTCCAAAACAAACCTTCCTTAAAGAGACTAAGTGTTTCATTTCCTACTAAAACTAATCCAAATCAACTCGTTCACACCCAACACTGATAATGAAGCATAAAGAAATAGGAAATGGGGAAAACGGGGCGGTAACTCACGAGACGACGGGTCGGGTCGTCACATATTATTTCTCAATTAAGTACTCTTAACTTAATTTCTTGAAGATGCCAATGATTTATGCAAGCTTTTTTATTTTCAGTTTTATGGTGTAAAATAAGAATTTTTTCCCCTCACTTTTCCTTTAGTTATCTGTAACTTTAGAGGGTTGTTCAAGGGAGAAATGACTATGGTGGTGAGGTATGCAAGGTGGTAGAGGAGCTGATGAGAGTAGCAACTATGGTGGTGGGAGAGGTAGCTACGGTGATGGGAGCAGTAGCTATGGTGATGGAGTGGAGGAGACAGCCGCTACAATGGTGAAAATAGTGGTTACGGCCAGTATGATTGTGGAGGTCAACTCCTAATGGCGGTAGTTGCGCAAGAGAGAAGATGAATGGGGGAGAAAGAGTTTGGGAGAAATCAAGAAGAAGATCGGGAAATGGGAAGCCATTGGGAAGCATCCCATGTTGACTAATCAATTTCGTCATGCTTTCCCTGGCTTTGGCACTGCTGTCGTCGCTTTCTCCATCTACTATATCGGTAAATTTGCTTACAACAAGATGTCTGCCCCTTCTCACTCAACCTCTTCCGCCACCTCTTCTCACTCTAACAAAACTTTGGATCGGGTCAGCTAAGTAGATCGAAATAAGATTTATTTTTTATTTTAATTAGTTCGAGATTGCCACGTGGCTCAGTAAAAAAATGGCACGTCATTAAATTGTTGGCCCACCAGTTCTATCATTAGCCGCGAGGGTAATTTTATTAATATAATTAACGTCGTGTGCTTTTTGGACGGATAGATGAACAGAGAATATTTATAAACCATTTAGCAAATAATAGAGGTAGTTTTGGCCATTTTTCTGTTATTTAATTTGTCTAAGATTTTTGTTGTACAAGTGACAACCATCTGGATCTACTGTATTAGAGGAAAGTTCACCAGAAAAGAACTCAACACGTATTAGAGGTGTTCTATTAGATTCTGTATTATTATTATTATTATTATTATTATTATTATTATTATTATTATTATTATTATTATTAGTATACTTTGTTCGAACGAGATAAAAATAATCTGGGCATTATCACTATTCTGCCTAAATTGTTTTGCTTTGAATCTTGATCAGGCCATGAGGCTATCATCTGTAATATGCTCTGCTGGATGGTTAGCAATCTACCTTGCTAAGGTTTGTATCCTCTATACAATATCCTACTTGTTTCTTTTAACGTGGTGGAATGGTAAAATCCTATAAAGCTAACACCTCAATAGGTGAATAATTTATCTTTAATTTGTGCCAGCTTTATGTCTTGAACTATTCATTTTGTACGCCTTAAAAATATTATGTTGGCACTTTATTCTAAATTCTTCTTTCTCTACGCTTAAAATATTTTATTTTTAGATTTTCTTTTAAATATGTGATTATAATTTCTATAAATATGTTGTTCTATAATTAAGAATTTATTGAATTACGATCTTATTTATTTGCATATTTTACAATGCCTAAATAGTAAATAATTTGTACTTTTTCTTGATTTTGTAAATTTAATGTAAATCTATTTTTAAATGTCAGTTTTATTACTTTTATTCCTTTTAATGAACTGAGTAGAAGAATTGAGGTCTAACTGTAGCAACGTTAATTTTATAATTGAAGGAACCGATGGTGCTATATTTGGGGAGATTTTTGTCAGGTTATAGCATTGGCATTATTTCTTACGTGGTACGCTTTAAATTCTTCCTTGTATATTTCCTTCTTGGATATTCCTAGTCACACATAATTAATAAAGAAATAGGCATTGCACCCAAATTACAAAGAAAATATCAATTTGTACTATGTATGAATTTAAATTAACTCTTTTATTTGAACCTTCATTTAGGTTCCTATGTTTGTTGGAGAGATATCGCCAAATAAATTGCGAGGGGCACTATCCTCTACTAATCAGGTATAAAGAAATTTTCCGATTCTATTTCTTTTATTTATTGTAAATTTTCTTTTTGTCTATCGAGGAAAGATTAAAAATGAATAGAGGTGAACAGTTGGATTTATAGTTATTTATTTATAAAAATTGTACGGGCGCTCTATTTGGTCTCCTCCATTTAATATATACCTTNTCTTCTTCTTCTTCTTCTTCTTCTTCTTCTTTCTTCTGCTGATGTTGGTGCTGCTATGAAACTTTAGTTCATAGGATAATTGCCATAAATATGTTTATCATATTATTAAAAATAAATTATAAATAATTACGTAAGTTAGTAGACAATAATTTGTGAATATTTCCACGTATGTAAGTTAGTAGACAATGACAATTCTGTTATTTTCACGTTTATTGTTTCCAAAATTTATGATTTAGATACTGTTGGCAATCTGATTATTTATCTAGTATGTTAGAAAGCTTTTTCAAAAACTTCAGCTTATATAGTGCTGAAGTTTTTACAAATGAACTAAATAACTTCAGCATCTTCTGCTGAAGTTTTTGAAAAAGCTTTATGACAAAACTAATGAATCCAGGACAAAAAAACTTCAGCTTATTTAGTGCTGAAGTTTTTACAAATGAACTAAATAACTTCAGCATCTTCTGCTGAAGTTTTTGAAAAAGCTTATCCAGGACAAAAAAAATCTTCAACTTATTTAGTGCTGAAGTTTTTATAAATGAACTAAATAACTTCAGCATCTTCTGCTGAAGTTTTTGAAAAAGCTTAATGACAAAACTAATGAATCCAGGACAAAAAAATTTCAGCTTATTTAGTGCAATTACAAACAAAAACTTCAGCAAATAGAGAACAAAACTTCAGCTATTATACTTAAATTCAGCAATTACAAACAAAAACTTCAGCAATTAGAGAACAAATTCAGCTACTATGCTTAAGTTCAGCAATTACAAACAAAAACTTCAGCAAACTTGGTTCAGCACACTTGCTACTTCAGGCCCGTCTACTAGAATGCTGAAGTTTTGCGTAATTGCGTTTGCTACTTCAGCCCCGTATGCTGAAATTACGCAAAAAGTGGGTACGCTTGCAATTTTTTTTTTTGCAAAGCGGACACAAGTTAAAACGTGACCTAAAAAGCGGGTATAGATGCAAATGCCCCAATTTATTTAAGTACATTCTAAATCCATTCCTTCCAATTTAAGTATTGACCCAAAAGTTTTATTGGGCTCTGATACCTAAGAATGGATAGAAGCGAACAGTTGGATTTATATATGGATATTTTTTTTCGTTCCTATATAATATTTTCAAACTTATTTATCAAGATAGTCCTAAATTTGTATATTATCCGTTATAATTATTTTTTTTACAATTCATATATAATCCATTATTAGTGTCTTAAATTAGGGGATTCAGTTACAATTGTTTCCTTTTTTTTCTCTCCTCTCTTCTTTCCCTATTCTCTGCCGCCCTTCTCCATCCAAAACTCCCTGAATTAGAGTCAAACTTGGTATTAGACTAAAATTTAAACCAATATTTTCCCTATAGTAAAACAATAACCATTATTTCCAATATTTCTACTACGTGAACATCACATGTGATAAGATTTTGTAATCTTTTGAGTGCTGCCTATTGGATTTAAGTAAAATGCTCAACGCCTCCACCTCCGTCAATGTAGCACCACCACCAGTAGCAATAAAAACTCAATGATGACTCGTTTAATATGAAACTCGAAATTTCTGTACACAAATCATTCAGTTCTCATCATTATTAAGTTTTTCTGTTCAAACAAATATGAATCAGTGCAAATGAGTCTATTTTGATTTCATTCTCTATTTTTTTGACCAATCGAGTAAAAAAGAATAATGTATAGTACTGCAGCATACAAATTAAAAATAAATTTAGTACAAATTTGATACATCTACAATAACATACAAACTAAAAATAATTTTATACAACTAATTATATAATATACAACTTATTTATAACTTATCTACAACTTTCGTGCATTATTTTTACCTAGTTAAATACAACTACCACATCATACAACTTAAATATGATTTTAATAAAAAATTTATACAATATATTTTTTGTATGTATTTTATAAATGATTTGTATATATTTTATATGTGGTGTGTTCTTCTTCCTCTCTGAAATTCCAATCAAACTTCCTCTCTTAAAATAATTTTGATATATATAACAAACTTTATGTAAAAAAAATAATATTTCTAACTTAAATACAAATTTCATACGGTATAAAATTCATTTCCAACTTTCGTGTAACATTAAAATAAAAAAAAATATAACAACAATATAATAAAACTTAAATGCAATTTACATACAGCTATAATACAACTTTAATACAATTTTATATGTATATTATATTTCATATGTTCTTCGATTTTCAATCTGAAATCCAGTCAAACAACTCTAATCTTCACCAAACATCCTAAAAAAGGAGATATAAAATGCAAAGAATATTTTCAAACGTTTGCAACAACACTCAATTCAAATAAATGATACTTTTTTCTAAAATTCAAACTCGAATTCAAAGTTTTGAAGCTTTTTAATGGTTGTCAATGGTGGAGAGTCAAACACCTTCAAAATTTATTGATTGACAATTTCAATTCAAACACCAATTGTGCAACATGAAAAAAAATTGCAAAGTAAAAATTCTACAGTAAAATAATTAAAATCCATTGATGAATTCCTTGAAAAAAGAGAGGATAAAGTAGATGAGAAAAGAGAGAAAATCGAAGGAAGAAAAATAGGGTTGGGGAAAGAACAAAGAAGGGGAGAGAGAGAAAGAGAAAGACAGAGATGAAGAGAGAGAAAGAGAGAGAGAGAGAGAGAGAGAGAGAGAGAGAGAGAAAGAGAGACGAAGAGGGAATAATTGATATTTCCTATTCAATTCCTAATATAAAGAGATATCATTTAGTACTAACTTGTATATAGTTAGTAAATTGTATATCAACTTGTAATTAAGTTAAAACTTCAATAGTGAGGGTATATTTTCAAAAGTAATAGATAATAAAAATCTCTTATATTTATTTATTAAGTTATTCTAAATCCACTCGTTCCTATTTAAGTATTGACCCAAAAATTTTCATTGGGCTCTGATAGCTAAGACCTTCTCTGGGATCCTAAATCTAAATAACAATTAACTTCCCAAGTTCCTGTCACAGCCCAAATCAAAGGGCCGCGACAGGCACCCGATACCTTACCCAACCAAGAACCAACATAACGTATCTTTCTTATCATACCATCATGGGTAAGTAGTCCAGAAGGGTCGTAATGAGATAAACAAAAACAAATATAATGGAATACTCGACATAGGACAATCCAACATGATATACAAACTTATACATATGACGTACGGGCCTATAAGGCCGACATGATCATTTGTACACTCATAACATAGACCGACAAGTATCCATATATATGACATCTCTCTACAAGCCTTAAGAGTACATGAACATCATAAAGATCGGTACATGGCACCACCATACCAATCATTACATATCCAAAGCATATCGACCAAATAGGAAACTCTAGAGCAAGTGGAATGCACCAACACCTTCTGCTGAGCTAATAGCCTATTATGAGGACCATCAACCTGTCTATTGGGACCTGCGGGCATAAAATGTAGCATCCTGGGGCAAAAAAGAACATCAGTACGAATAAAGCATCGAGTATGTAAGGCTGAAATAAATAAGAATAGTAATGCAAAGAGAGATAGAGAAGATACAACCTGTAACCTTTGAATACCTCTGAGGGCTACTGATATGAAATGCATGATATATATATATACATAAGCTTTTAAAAATATTTGCCTTTGTGGGCACCATCATTATATCATACCTGGCTGTAATAGGCTTAATAAAAACATACTCGGCCATCATCACGCTTGGTAGAATCATACCCGGCCACGTGGAGCTCGGTAACACCCAACTGATCAGTGGTTGCACAATAGGCGGTGTACCCGACCGACTATAGCGCAGCTCGGTAGAGTTATATATATATATATATATATATATGCATGATGGGCTCATGGAATCGCGTTCTAAACCTTTCAGAGTGATGTAAGGTCGTCTCACCTTCGACTAACATTATGGACTTCCATACTATCAATATGAACCTCAATAGGATTTAAGGATCATACATACTTTCTTAGAATAACTTTTTAAGGAAATAATAAGATGGACAACCTTAGTTGCTAGGAGTAGATCCGTTATGGAATAGCGTATCATTTACGTTCATCTCATTTTTGATCATGCCAAAAAAAAGAAGGAAGTGCCTTAACATACATACATGATCTCTTCCTTATTCCTCAACCAAGCTCAACACAACTTCTTGCGTCTATAACAAGTGAAATGATAGTCTTGTCAATATATAATGCCGTACCATCATATTTGGCTAGTCGTAATACGGAAAATTGGGCAGCAACTCCCATGTTTTTACTACATCCCAAAGACCACTAAGGGTCATCAACATCCCAACAACAACAACAATAATCAACAATAGCAACAACAATAATATAATCTAATATGAGCATCCTCGATTATCTTAACAATCATATTGAGTGACAAGCTCGTCTTTACTAATAACAAAACATAAATTGAATACAACTCTTATTCCATAAATTGGTTCACAACCTTCAGAACATCATACTTATATGTACTATATGATTCCTAGTTTAAAACATCCAGGAAATGACTTCTAAAACAGCCCCATATGCCTAGCACCCTGACTTTTATCGTCAGTCACTTGTGTTTCATGTTTTCTTCTTCAATAAACTTAGTTAACACCTAGAAAATCTTAAGAACAACATCCAAAACATTATCAGATTATTTCTCATAATTTCCAGCCAACACAAACCATATATGTGGCCGAAAAAATAGCCCAACCAAAAGGATAACCATATCCCCTGTTCTTTCAAGTGCTATCTTATAGTTTTTCACTCAAAAAACACAACCAGCACAAGCTTAACCCTAGGAACAATCAAGAATATATTATACAT